AATAACCGCCTGCATACTTTTCTATATAGATAAGGCAATATCAAAAAAATTAACTAAGTAAGGGTTAGATACCTAGGGATGCTATATTGATCTTGGCATCGTAGAATATCTATTGAATGATATACCAACCCCTGTAGATCTATAAGACAAATCCACCGCCTCCCGTATGCTAGGTCGCCGGATGCGAGTACCACATACCTGCATTCCGACTACTTAGGGTAACCTGCAGGTTCGAGAAAATCTAGCACGTGGGCTGGCTACCCAACGCCCGTCGGCATTCCCGAAGCTATACTAGGCGGAGGGGATATTTCATATATCCTTGAAGCCACTTGCTTCAGACTAGGGTTTATCAAGCAATAACGCTTACGGCTCTTTTGGCTCCCCCCTCCCATTTCTGGATATCGCCAAATAGCATGATATTGCGTTTTATATTGATCCTGCTTAGACATACTAAAGGACTTAAAGTGTATCAACTTGTTCGCGGTATATCCGAGAGGTCCATCGTCTATGCCAGATCGACCAGGAATACCGGGTTCCGTCCACGTAATGTAGAATTTTAACAGGTCGTCTGCTAAACACACGCTAGTAACAATACCGCTGCCGTCTTGAATAATCATATTATGTGTTAATAAAGCTGACGATGCAGCGCCGAGAATCTAGTTCTTTACTTCCCAGACTGGGCCGACTGCTTTTGAATTCCATGATAAAATAGGGGAAACATATGCCTTCTGCATTCTAAACGTACTTCAAGCTGTATCCATCCTTCCCTAGGCTTAACTAAGGGGTTTTAGAACAATCGTATTCAAATACTAAATCAGGTTTCGGAGTAGTAGGAAAACATAACGGACGTGGGCTTTGGTGGACGACGTGGTCCCTGTGCCATATGGCCCTCATAGCAGCCCTAATTGGGCTTTTGATTTTGTACGGGGCATATTTGAACGGATCTAGTTGCAGAAAATTCTTCATCATAGTCTATATGTGATCTTCCCCGAACGCCATATTGATTGATCTTTCTACGTACCAATCACTTTGTACCTCTACCTCCTTTTGCGATATTATATCATCGGTAGTTGCTAAAAGTCTATCAATAACCCTTTTGACCCATTCTAAGAGCTCCTTTCTAATCTACCTCTGTATGAGATTTGTATGTAGATAAGATTGCGCATATAATTTATGACCAACCTTATGGACAGCAGTCGGTGACTGACGTCTTTTTGCAAGCGGCGGCTTGGTGTCGGATACTTTGCTACGGCACCGCGTTTTAGATTTAATATATGTGTTATCTTGCGAAGGGTACCTAGGAATCCAAGAGATGATCATCTTTAAGATGGCGAGGCTTGTGGATATTGCGAAGCGCTTGATTTGGAGGCGAGGTAGTGAACTTATAGTGGGAGAAAAGGTAAGCTTTATCCTGTCCTGTAGGGATATACGGTTTATGACGATGATAGATAATAATATTTGTATATATATGTGGGCGGGCGTGCATATTAGAAATGATCTGTCTCTTTTGGATACGAGTGTTCAATAGGTGTAACCATAAGAAGTTTAAAATATATGATGTTAGTTAACAAATGATGCTATTTATTGTAAACGGACCAAGGTATATCGCTATTGCAACTTGAACTAGAATCTTGTAACATACAAAAAAGGCATAAACACGTTACTGCTGTTTTAAGGGGAGCACCATTGCAGGCATATAAATGAGTGTTATATCATGTTTTTAAAAGACGACGCCTTTCTAAAGATTTTCTATTAAATCTCAACAGGAGAGCTAGCTGATATAACACCTAATGTGGTCTTGAGATACTGGCATCAACGAGATTAAAGGGTATGTCACGTTAGATCTATAACGACCAATATAACAACGTACGTGCGATTACGTATTTTTCATAGTTTACATAATTCATCCATTGATTATTGCCTTCTGCTATTACTACCAGTTAGCAATGACCTCAAATTGCAAGAAGCAGTTGTAAACTTGCCCCCGATTAGCTTTTCCCATACTTGTCTAAGTAATCCCTAAGCCATTTTATTAATAGACGACAGTTCTCGTGCCGACCTAGCTCTCATGTGAACAATGTCGCTTTAACTATCGTCTAAATGGCATAGGCTTTCCCCCACCGTGTTTCTACTATCACCGTCTGCTCGTGAGTACTAACCAACGGAGAATACAATTATGCCTCTCTAGTATAGAGGAAGACGAAAAATTCGTCGTAATGCTGCCCGGAGGGAGCTTCCTTAATGTCCTTACTTACTGGACAAGCTCTTTATAATGCAATAGAGAGCTCCGATTATAATTATACGCAACATATCGGTAAACGGTGACGGGATAAGACCGAAGTTCCATTCTCGGGCGGATCTAAGAGGGCCCTAATGTTGTGCTTCACCGGCCGTAGCCCGGATTTTGACCTTCAGTAGGAATAAACCCAGGGGCAGAAGCAAACCCAGGAGGTGGCGGTGGTACGCCGCCAGGGGGAGGGCCAAAGCCCGGAGGGGGCATCCGAAATCCGCCGGGATGGAAGTCTGCCGGACTGCCATATCCAGCTTGAGAGGGCGGGGGACGAGCGGGTAGTCCTGACGGAGCGGGTGGTAGAACATTAGGTCTTCCAGCTCCTGGTGGCGGGGGGGCGCCATTAACACCAAATGGCGGAGGAGGGCCACGGTGAGAGGGAGGAGCAAATCCAACTGGTGGTCTCGGAGGGGGGATGCCGGCGGCCATGGAAGGGTCGAATCCACCAGTAGCCATAGCTGGCGGAGGAACGACTGCTGCAGGTGGAGGAGCTGAAATAGGGTTCTGAAGGAGTGCCGGAGGCATGGGTTGGCTTTCAATGGTAACGTTGTGCTTCTTTGCTTGAGCGGCAAGCATTCGTTCGGCCTCATCTCCGTGGCGCTCGCCTTTACCATCCTTCTTGTACGCGTACTGCACACTGATATCCTTGTTCATCAGGAATTGGCCGTTCATGTTGTTGATAGCATCGTCACTAGCCTCGAAACTGCTATAACTAACAAAACCGTAGCCCTTGCTCAAACCGTTGTCGTCGCGAGCGATCTTGGGAGGGGCGATCAGAGTGCCGAATCTGCCGAAAGTGTCGTAGAGAACCTTCTCGTCGACCATGGAGTCGAGGTTGCCGATGAAGAGCTCGGCGCCGATCTCGAGGGGCTTTTGCTTGTCTGCGGAGGCTTTGTTAACGCGCAGTAGTTTGCCGTATAGGCGGATGCCGTTCATGATTTTGGCGGCGTAGTCGGCGTCAACTTCGCCATTGAATTCGACGAAACCGAAGCCTTGATGGGATTGTGTCACGCGATCTTTGGGGAGGTGTACGTTGACTACTGGGCCGGCTTGGACCATCAGCTCCCATATTAGAGCATCGGTAGCGCGTTCGTCGATATTACCCACATAGACGGTGGCTTCTTTATCTTGTTCCCTGATGTTAGAATAGTTAGTTAGTACAATCGAATGTCGTATTGGCGCGTAAAACGTGAGAAACGTACCAATGCTTCGCCCCCGACATCTTGATGCGACGCTTTTCGGTGAACTTCTATGTTAGATTCTATGTTGCGTTGCCACGAAGTTGAGTCTAAGTGGAAATCTTGTAAAAAAGAATGTCGCGACTCGTATATTGTACCTGTACTATGTACATATGTAGGTATGCATGTAAGTAGCGGGTGTTGTTATGGAGTCCTTTACTTATCGAAGCTTCCAAAACTTCATTGAAACTTTCTAGGCTTGTCAAAGATAGCAGGGATGCATAGCTCCAGCTATCTGTGGCTTCTGATTGCCTTTGACTCTGATTGGCCCTGAATTTTTACTTTATACCCACTCACTAACTTAAACCAATTACGTCGAGCGTTCGTTCTTTGTCCCGCCCGGTTTATCAACGGGCTTATCAGATGAATTTTGAGCTCAAATATCGTCAAACAAACAGCAAATACGACATCTCCATAAAGCTCAAGAGGTTTATTCCTTACGTTCGCATCAACTAAAAAGACGAACGAGGCCAAAGTCGCTGCCACCCATTCTCATACAACCTTACGATCTCTCTCGGTTAGCTTCTCGTCGAATAGCACTGCCCATCATGTTCGCCCTCTCGGAAGAATCTAAGGAGCGCATTGGAAAGATAATTGAGATCGGAAGAGTCGCAATGCACTAGTATGCGCTGCCCCTCCAATGACCACGATTTAAACATGTCCACGATGCTAACATATTGCAGTGGTTACCTGCCTCTGATACTCTACTTAGGTATGCCTTGATCGGCCTTTATAACACTATGGCGAACGCTTTACGAAGACAATATCTGGACAATATCTGACCGCACAACTATTATAGGCTACACACGCAGCGACCCACGTCCTTCGATCATCAAGTATGTTTCTACCTACCCTCGATATAGGTCTCTAGCACAAATTTACTAATCTTCTTTTATAGACTTTTGTCCCCTCTGTCTTAGTATATCATGATGAGGCGTATGCTAAGAGCATCTCTGTATTACTACTACTACTTCCTCTACTACTAAGTTTTCATCCATGGTTATGACCCTGAGGACGTCGGCAAACATTTCGAGGCCTTACAGTGCAAGGGGATGGCGTTCATGAAAGTCCATGATAGATCCGTCTATGCGATGCCGCTTGATAGCGGCTATGTAAAGTATAATGAATAAAGAAACTCTCATACCACCCACACCGATATATCGTCTCTAGGTTCTGATGCTTTACGTGCGATTGGGTGAGTGGTCTATTTTCTAAGGGGGTAGCGTCTGGTCTCATTTCCCTCGAAATGGAATAGAGCTATTGTATCTAGCTACAAGCATAGATTTGTAAGTGCTGAAGCCAGCTGTGTTCCGCTGCTATTCCGAGAAGTAACACTTACGTACTGCTCGCCGACGGGCTTTTCTAAAAATAGCGAATCAAGGTAAACGGCTTCAACGAATAAATTATGTAGTAATCAAACACGAAGTCATTAGCAGTGCCCCTTGAGTAATATGTGATATTGAAACCCCCGTGAAGAAAGTTAAACAAACCCTGAATTACTACACGCCTAGTTTCGCCTCGCCTAGACCAGTCCCATGCCGCGATGCCGCGTCTACCGTGTTGTACAATAAGTAGTATATCAATCTTCCCAGCGACTAGGCATCTATCCTAGTGCCGTAACCCCCCTATTATCTCGAGCTTCGGGGTCTCCTCACGCAAGTCTCCCTACCAAACCCCTCACAATAGGGTCCCTTCAACTCTCGCCCTCCTTACAGAGACAAGTTATAGCTATACTCGTCCTCCATATTCTGACTAACCCATAGCACAACCGAACTCAGCATCACCAACCCATTAGCAACAACATTCTCCACGCCCATCCCCATCATCGGCCAGCCCACATTCGGCACGACAAACTTAAGCACGAACACAGTCACACCCCCCGCCATACCACCCGCCAGCGCCGCAAAACCGAGAAACAGCACGACGCGCGCCTTCCACGCGACGCCCGAGCCGCTGTACGAGAACGAGTCGGCCGACAAGCGCGCCTTTTCCACCGAGTTGATGATCAGCATGCCCAGCGAGCTGAAGATCAGCGGCAACCAGTCCACAAACGTCACGTGCACGTCGGAGCCGTTGAGCGGTGATTTCGACCATACCGCTGCGTCGATTAGGATGTAGAATGCGAGCGAGAACTGCGAAGGTTGGCGGGTTAGTCCGGGAAGTAGCGGAATGAACTATAGGTAGCAAATAGGGAAGATAAAGGAAAGGTGGTACGAGAGGAGAGGGACGGAGAAAGGGTATCATCATCACCAACGTACCAGCGCACCCGCCGAATACACGCCCGCGCCGCGCGCCCAGGCGCTGTTAAGCCAAGCAGGCCTGCGGAACTTGAAGAGGCGGTCATCCTCCATGGTCGCGAGCGTTTGGAAAACGGGTTGTCGAATCAACAAGACCTATCGAAGGCCGAGATATGGATGGAATGGTGTTTAATGGAAAGGAACAAGTCAGTCGTTAGCTCTGGCTGGAGTTCCGAGCTTAGGGGATAGATTGATTGAATTGATGAGGCTGATGACGACCCGGTGGAGTCTTGGCATTGACAAGCTGCGTGATATCGACACGTGACATACCTATCCCCTTTTATACCGTATATGTACTGTATACGTACTGTTTATGTACATGTGCATCTTATGCAGGTCCGTGGAGTAAGGTTCCATGTCCAGCACATACATATACATAGCACCACAGCCTTCTACGATTAATTACCTTGGGTAAACTTTACTCTCATATACGTACAATGCTAATGAGGTGGATATCACGAGCATTCACGACAGAAATTTCAACCATCATTCTCAATCAGTTTTATATTAAAGGCTCAAAAAAGCTCCACAGTACCTGTTCCTATGCCTTCATAGAGTGTCTCTGATTAGGCGCCCATTCCCTATACATAGGGTGCTAAAGTCATATATTGAGTCCTGAAACGTTGACCGAGTACGATGTGCTACCGCCAACGCCTGAGAGACTCGACGCTAGAGTCCTCCTGAACGCCTTTCTTCTTCTTATTCGTTGTCGGTAGCTCGAATCCCTGTCGTAGCTCTACAGACTAAAACCCCTTTGATAATGCTACTACATTGACAAAATGCAGTCCTAACCGTCACAGGTTCGCTAACCAACTGTACAAACATCTCTGACCGCTTCGCTATCACCGTCTCCATCAATGGAAGAACTCAGATCCGGCCATCTGGTCACGCCCCTGATAGTATCAAGGAGGGTGAATGACCAGAACTGAATAAAAGTAGACGAATGGTATTAGTACAAGAATAGTGGCATGTCACCTATTGAATTAAAATCTTTATGTGCCGTCGAGGATCTTGGTCGAGTCCTGCGAAGGGATGTCCAAATCCCGCTCTATCAATGGGCCCAACTTGGGTGGAATATTAACCAGGAAGATTTGTGCGCGCAGCTGCAAGAAACGAGACCTCTGCCGAAAATAGTGGCGATGCTGATCTGCATCGGTTCTGACCTTTGAACGCCTCCCTTTTGCTGTCTATTAAGTAGTCGTGTTACAATGCATTTCGTTGTCGGTCGTCGAACTTTCATATCAGATCTCAATGGTCTTCATCCCTTCTTCCAGCTCCTCGCTTTCTGTGGTGCCGTTTATCTTCGTGGATTCCGGTGTTACGTCTTTTCCTTTGGCCTCAGCAATCGACGGAAACTTAGGTGTCTCATCGCTAGGTCGAGGGGTTTCGACTTCCACAAGCTTGGGCTGGGTAGTGCCATTCGCGCTTGACTTGGATGCCGAGCTAGGTGTTTCCTCGGTAACTCTAGCAAGAGGACTTGACTTTCCGAAACCGGGACGATTGGGGCTTGCTAGAGGCGATGGGCTACTTAGACGTTGCAAGGTACGGCCTCGGGGCTCTCCGCCAGCATCCGCTGGATTGATATAAGGTGAACCTCCAGGAGAAGCTCCAGGAGAAGTAGGGACGCCCAGCATCTGTGATCTGCGCTTGGCGGCTACTTTGGCGCTGCGTCCGTGCTTCTGGTCCATCCTCCACCTCAGGATGTCGAAGTAAGATGGCTCAACACGGGTCGACTTAAACTCGCGAAGCTTGAGCTCTTGAGTATCCTCATCAACAAACCATTTGCCGCTGTTTAAATCGTCCGCAACCACCGATAGGAAAGCTCCCCAAGACCTGGCGACAACATACTTCGTGTCATAATCCCGACCGAAGAGAATGATCTGGCCCCAAATACCATTTGGACCGGGAGCAAGATCCACAGCAAGGTTGTTTCCGCCCCAATCTCGCACAAGGGGGATCCAAGCAGGGTGTGCATAGGCTCGTTGAACTGCTCCCGGAGGAACACAATCTTGACGAGCCTGAAGATCTTGTCTCCAGGACTCTTTCTGTGATCCATGCGAACTAGGCGAACCGGGAGCGGATTTGGACGAGGACGCTTGACTGCTACCGCCGAATGCCTTAGAAGGAACAGCAGGCTTCGCGACTGACGTTTCAAGAAGATACTGTTGATTAACTCTCCGCCACTGGTCCCATTCTTGAACGATCTCTTCGCAGTCAAGAAGCATAGAACTGAAAATAATTCCAGTTGGATTACCTCCGCGTTCCTGCCCATCGTGAACCGCTAAGGAGTCTCTAACATCCTGAGGTAGCGAGCAATCTAGCTGGTGTTCTAGTTCGTTCAAGTCGTTGGTCGTGCACCCGTCGCATAGCTGATCATACAATTCTGGATAATTCTCTTCGGCCCACTTATCTATCCGCCTCCATGAATGAGCCGCCGGAGGTGCCGGAGGCGCACCGTTTGCAAACGACTGCATCGGAATTTCCCCAGGGCTACTAACAGTTTCAAATCCATCGTCCTTGCTGTTTTGGCGTTGAGCGTTGAGAGACCGTAAACCAGGAGAGTATGGACCGTTGGAGTTGGGAGAGAGAGGAGATGCTACCGGAATACCGACGCCTGAGTATGATGTGCCATCCATGCCGCTAGATAACCGGCCGAGTTCGTCAATGTACGGGGATGTAATATCAGCTCGAGATTCCGAAGCAGTGGCAACCGATGTGAGGGTGTCTTGTCTATTAAGAGGTACATGGCGACCGGTTCGATAGGGAGAATCGTACGATGAATCTAAAATAAAAGTAAGTAGATGCGATAGCTAATAGTTGCATCGGATTACTCACGTCGATCATAACTGGTCATGGTGTGCCAGAATGAGCGAAAAGTTCCTCCGAGCCTAGACATTCATAATTAGCAAGCGCGAGGTAGAAATTGGAAGCTAACTTACGACATATTGGGCGGTTCTAGATTGACAAGTCCCTAGAGGGAGAAAAATGTACGTCGTAGGAAGTGTATTATAGCAGCGATGCTCGAGAGAGCAAGGCGATTCGGCACAGAAACTATTTCGAAGTATGCGACGGAACAGCCGTATTGGCGATTTTTATGACTAAAGAAGAAAGATCGACAACGGCTAAGGGGAATTACAACTGGAAATGTAGTCGTGTAGGGCTGATTAAAGATAGAACAAGTACCCCGAATGGAACGGACGTTGTGGTGCAGTAGAGGTGCGCGCGTAAATGTTGGAGTATATCATATAGCGGAGGGAATGATAGTTATCTCTTTTTTTCCCCTTTACCACAAAAAGGAGGTAGATGAGACTGGTCGGGATCCTATGTGGAGAATGGGCGGGTACTGGGCTTTTTTTTATCGAAACGTCAATATCTTTGTCATTTCAGATCCAGCTTTCCCTTGTTCCTTAAATTATCAATTCGCTAAAATGGGAACGAAGCGATGGCTGACTCGAGATTGATAACGACGCGGATGTTTTTTTTTTATGCAGCTTGGCTCGATATTGTTGCTGAGTTTGGCCTGCAATATCCTCGAATCCTGAATCACTAGTAACTCTTTGGGACTTGGGAGGTGGATCTCTAGAAGGAGTGTGGGTTTCTGGCGCGTCCTGCCTTTTAGTGACTTTGATAGGTTTTCGCAGAGTTACCGCGGAGACCGGATGTGAAATTCAGAAGGTAAAAAACGAACGAAATTATTCTGTAGATGAATGGAGGGCAAAGGAGATGATTTTGTTGTTTCCCCCCCTTCGATGTTTGCGACGCTATGTGAAGCTATGTGAATGTAGAACCGGGGATGGAGGTTGGAACTTGGAAGGGGGCTCGTCCAATGTTGAATTTCAAGGGGATTGATGGTCAGTGGGTGACGCGCCTATTCAAGGGGGGATTAGCGACGGTTATGCTGCAGTGCTTGGGTTGGTTATTTCTCACTGTACCTACCGTAGGCGAAAACTGGGCAAAACGGACGAAAACTGCGGTGTAAAGTACAGTGCGAAATTATGCAGGAAGAATATACCTCTAACCACATACGGATTAGTTCCACAATCCTGAATTTTACGCATGTGCTACGCAGCTTGTACAGATCGGTATAAATGGTACAAATTAGGTAGTATTAAATTAACTTCCCCCATTGAGCCTACATACATGTGCCTATTATCTAGGAGAGGCAGGTCAATTGAAGTCTGTCTCGATCCTGCTTATCCTGCTCCCCATCCCATATTCTTTTTATGTGCTTGAACAATAAACAATGTTATGATTATTGTATGATACCTGCATGCTAAGATATCGGTAGATATAAATAACACCTGTAGCTATTAATAATAGGGAGTGAGGCTCTTGCCGCTGAAACTTCTAGATGTTACCTCAGGAGGTTTACGGAATAAAGGTAGGTGCATATCAGTTGATTAGGTATGTATGTGGAATGTATTTAGCTTGGGCCCTTCCATGTAGAGGTTCTAGACTACGGGGTCTCATTTCGACGTGTACTGCCTTAAGTTTCACCACCGGCATGGAATCACTTAACGGTTGGAAGGAGTATGAAGGCGAACCTGGTGAAGCATAAGGTAATAATTAACCGGCCTGTCAAGTTCGGGGCTAATTCATCCCCATGCCATTAATATATACATATATCCACTAATACATGCATCCATCATTCATCTATCATTCATCAATACTGACAATTGCTATTAACATCGCCTCTTTTCTCATTACCTATACCTACATCAGTAAATTCTTTCGCTTATTTGACGTTTGATCTGACGACACTATTATCATATTGTCATAGTGCATACACATTGGGGGGGCAACGTTGCGCCTACATACTTGTCCGTCCTCTGTTTATTGGAGATCGAGGATTCCTGTTCCCTTTCTCGTTTCCCCCTTTTTAGCCAATCGAATGCGATTGTTTCGCGTCAGGGTCCCCGTCAAACGCCACATTAAGGAAACGCCAAAAGGAAGGTCCCGTCGTCTGTTTGGCCTTAGCCGACGCCTCATGATCTACATAAACGATCTGTGCTGAACCGTCTCCTATTGGTGATTGTACACCTGATATGATACGGTAACTCTCACCGTCACCGCCGTGCAGCAAAGAAGAAAATCAGGAACGTAAATAGTCCACATGTGCCCCTTGAATGCATTGTTGCAAATGTGTGTAGCGTTTCCCCCTAACTAATGTAGTCAAGAGCCTGTCAAACTATTCCTTTTGTTTCTTTTAGTACTGCTAGCTCGGGGTTAAATATACATACGCTATCTACCGTTTCAACCGTGTAAAGATATATACATAAGT